CATAACAAAACCGTACAGCAAACAAAGAAGTGAAACTACTCCTTCCAATTACCATCGCAATTACGTGACTGCTTACGTGTTAACGAGTCAATTAATGCAATCGGCCTTATGCGAATTATTTAACAAACTAGATTTCAGTTTTTCCCAGGAAAATATCCCATTGTTCTCGTACTCGGTAATTAGAGATGCTGTCGATGAACACGAGTTAACCTATACTTATCGTAACAAATTTAATACACTGTAAAGGTTAATTCCCTCGCTATTATTAATCGAAGCGAACGCGTACGAAAATGGAACTACGAAAATTCCATAGAGTTCCAAATTTTAGCGTCAAATTTTATTATCGATCGAGAAGATTGCGTTAAATTTGCATGTACGTTTTATAATAGCACGTTTAACGAACCTAGTACACGGAGCGCGCGTTCTAATAGAAATGACGCCACTTACGCAGTTCAGTTATCATTCTTGACGTGCACGTGTATCGTACCTCTTTCTTGATATATACATGCCTTTCGCGTATACCATGAATAAATATTTCAAAGATTAGATAAAGCATACCTTAGAATATAGATAACCTCATTGCCTACTGACGGTGAGGGAAAAAATACACGGGTTCACTATGAAATAATGTTAGCACTTAATATACTTTCTTTAATTATAGAACAAATTAAAATACCAAGTTCTAAATAATATGTTATTGCGTATTCTATTAATTCTCAACTATAACGTGGCGTAAACGTAAAAAATATTGTTGAAATCGTAATAATACGTGCACGATACGTATCAATTATTAAAATCCGTTCTTAATCATTCCGCCATGTATAACTTGAAGTATAGTATACTAAAAATCGATTAAATTTAGAGAGAAACGAAGAGAATCGATTACCGGCTTTCCTACATTCGAGTAAACTTCTCGATATCGAACAATTTCTAGATAATGCTAAGATGTCAAGTCATAAGATATAGAACCCAATGTCATGGTAAAAGTAAATTGAAACGTTAACTCCAACGATATAGGTAAGACTTATAAAGTAAAAGTAACAATAATCAAAAGATTCCGCGCTCAATAAAGTCATAATTACGGGCTGACGTACCTATGTAAACGACTTCCATCTTGAGACGTTGCAGAGACGCAGCCACCGAATCGGCGACGTAACAATATCCAAGGGCACGTTAGAGGAAAGCACAAAATATCACATCGATTATGGTCGCCACGCTAAGCGGGCTGTCACAGATTACACGAATGAAACGCGAACACTGGGAACAACAACGATCGCTAACAACGATAAACTGAATCAAGCCGAACTTCCAGCCGATCTCGACGATGAGGTTAGAACCGCGCGCGCACAACGCGCGACAACGGCGATTCGTACACGACACTTGTTGATTCCACACTGTCAAGAAGACCACTGCACCCGTATGCGCGCAAACACGTCGTCACTTACACACATGGACTTTTAACTTTCTCTCTCTTTTTCTCGTATCTTCTACCTTTTTCTATCTTATACACTCTCTCTGCCTTTCTCTCTCACTCTTTCTCTACGTTTTTGTATCTCTTTCCCGTGTTTACCTTGTTCCCATCGACGACGATGGCGTTTCTTTTAAGTCTTCAGGATCTTTGACGCGATTGAAACTCGTATGTGAAACCACAGTATCGTTGCTTGTTCACGCGGAGAGCATGCATCGAAACATGTCGAGAGAGATAGAGAAAGAGGAGTATCCGATGACGATAAAATGAAAGGGACACGAACAAACGATAGTTGATTCGCAAGCCGAAAATGCAAAAGGAAAAGAAAAACTGGCAGACGGTCTTACTTTCATACGAGCATCAATGGGCCACCAAACGAACTACACACCGGCCGAGTCTCGAGCAAACTGGCAACCTCGGAGTTCGGAATAAGTAAGGCCCAACTTCTCCCACCCATACCCGCCCTCTAGCGATGTACACTTACTTTCTATCTCGCTTCTTCTTACGTATTACCTCGTTCTTTCTTATATCAGATAGGCTCTCCCTTTC